CCCCCCCCCCCCCCCCCCCCCCCCCCCCCAGTTTCATTGATGGTTCTGGCTGCCCTTGCCAGTCTTAGAGACTCACTCCATCTCTCTGTCTCTGCAGAGCGCTTCTCCGATGTCCTGCTGGAGCAGGTGGGCCTGGACAAGCTGAAAACCTGGGTCTCCGTCAATAGAGGCACCATTGTCCTCTGCTGGTGAGTCACGCGCGTGGACTGTGGCATGTCAGGCAGGCAGGAATCCTGCATTCAGAGGCTATGTGACTCTGCAAGCTGCGTAACTGCTCAAAATCCAATTTAACTCGTTTTGAGATCAAATCTAAATCTGTCGGCTTTGTTGACCAGATGTTCCCTGAAGTTCAGCTTTGCCACAGGGTCTATAAAACCAGCCTGCAGATAAAGCCTCGACCTGCTCTCTTTTATGTGTCAGTTAGTGCTGCATAACAGTCTTCATGCTGTCAGAGCTAATCAAGGGCTCATGAATTCCTGACAGCCAGGAAGGTTGCTGACTGAATTGCGGTCGTTCGGATCAGTGTTTCCACCACACGGGCCTTCGTGGTGTCCCAGGGGCGCTGTGAGAACATCTGAATCTGCAGCAAGCTGTGGATTAGCGCCATCTCTCAGATTTTCCATTCATCGACATTTTGTCTGGTATGACCTCATGCTCCTCTCTCCTCTCCAGCCTCCTCCAGAGCACCCAGAAGAGCGTGGCAAAGGCAGTAAAGGATGCCTTGAAGCCCATGGTCCCAGAGCTGCGGAAGATGAACCCTACCTCAAAGGGGGTGGAAGTCCTGCTGGAAAAGATGTCCCAGTAAAATGGACCCTGCTTTTCCTTTCCCCGAGTCTGTCCAGCACAGTCACTCGTTCGCCGAAGCCTCCTGTCGGATTCACAGGCTGCTACATCATGGACATTTTGTTATTTTGTCCCGCTGCTTACGGATGGACCATGAGTGCTGCACTGGTGCCTCTGTGCGGCCCAAACCCCAGTCGCCTCTTGGGCAGACATTTCCATGACAGGACTGTAGCAGGCCCTCAAGCAGTGGTGCTAAAATACACCAGCCATGAAAACACAATTGGCCTTTGTGGTTTTCCTTATGAAGCTTGGGGACAGTACCTTAAAAAAATTTAAAATAATGTTTGGGATCAATGACTAAATTAGAGCAGCAGCCTCAGTAGTTCTGTGTCAGCTAGAGGAATTGGCCTCAAAGCAGGTTTTTTTCCCTTATAAATAACCCATGTGTAACATAAAAACACGTAACAGTTTTGTTAATTTAAAAAGCCAGGAATTGAATTTTAATAATAAACTGCCTACCACACAAAGCTGTATATATGCTGGGTCTCGTGATATTTCATTTGCAAGGTTAGATCTCCTTTGTGATAGGAAATGGAGATAAATTCTCTGGGAGTGCACCAGTTAGGCCGCCCCGACCTGCCTCCCTTGAAATGAGAAACCTTCCTCATTCTGCTCTATAAATAACTGATTTGCACCAAAACCTGAAAAACTGCACCTAGAAAAATACCCAGGTACGGAAGCCACATGTTGGACGAAACCCTTATCCTGGTGCTTTGTTGAATTCATTTAGATAGCTGGATAAAGTTGCTTTGGTCTGTTCCAATAACTGCGTTTCTAATTTTATCCACATACTTGCATCTTTGCGACCTTTATGCTCCCAGTACTGACGTGGAGTCGTGTTGCCCTGGGCGAGCTATTTGCGTATTAATCGGCTTTGATGAACTCCAGTGTGACGCATGGGAGGTTGACCTGATACATACACAGGAGGGAATGACCCTTTTATCCTACTGTATTCACAGAGGTCAGGACTGAAGCCAATTCATACAAACACAATGTTTTGTGTAAATTACTTCCCATAAAGTTGAATTCACTCACTTAAGATAACATTCACGGTTACAAAAATTTATTGATTTTTATTCAGCAAACTGGACAATCATTGTACGACTTTAACCTGTCACCCAGTGAGGACAATGAATCACAGGTATATCAACAAACATATTATTAGACAAAGTGCTCACTAATGCAGTGTTTGATCGGGCTTATAAGCTGCAGAAAAACCCAGCAATGGTGCGAAACGGATTTTCTGCCAGGCTGTGTGTGCTGGGATCTCTTATCAAGCCATTGCCTCACCTTAATTAGTTCAAGAACGTTTAGCATAATTAGCAAAGTAACCAGTAAATTGGAGTGAGATTAAACATGACGGAGGACAGCAGTACAAACACGCCCCCCCTGCCCCCGGAACATTGGGCAACCAGGGGCTACATCCTTCCTAAGGTTTCGGGCCTGGTACCTGATCCCTGGCCATACCTTACACCAGTGTTTCTCAACCCGGACCTGGGGGACTCCCATGATGGTGCCCATTTTTGCTCCCTCCCAGCTCCCTGCCATACAGTCTACATTTTGGCTCTCCTGGGAGCTGGGAGGGAGCAAAAACATGGACTGCTGGGGGTCACCGAGAACCGGTCTGCTAAACACTACCTTACACTGCACATGTGTCACGAAAGGTTGGGACACAAGTATTAAACGTAGTTTTATGTAGCGCATGTACCCTGCATATGATGTCATGTACCCTGCATATGATGTCATGTACCCTGCATATGATGTCATGTACCCTGCATATGTCATTTTGGGATGGGTGTCCACTTTCAGTTAATTTCAGCCTTTGGAAGAATATATCTAACAATCAGTATTATCTTGGTTTTAAAACGTTTTTTTTTGTTCATATATTAAAAATTACTTCCGACTCCTTCCACAAACCAGACAGACAATTTCAGGTCAGCGTTTTCGAAGTGTCATTTTTATTTTTCGCTGAACAGACAGACCATGTTATACTCAACTGCATGTGGTCTGTTACGCTTTCTAACCTAAATTAGGTGAACTATTTCTGCAGTACAGATTGCAGCAAAACAGTACAGGTCAGGTTCCTTCACCAATCAACTTTAAATGAAGACGGAATCTACATGCGGCTTAAGCCAGGTGAAAGCCGGACGTTACAATGCAGTGGTGCCTTTGTCCTTAGACCTCTCCTCCTCATCATTCAGGCACTATGGCTGTGACCCACTTTGGCGGGCGATTTCTCAGCTGAGCCATGGAGGAGGGTGGAAGACGCTACGCGCTAATGCCAGCGATCTGCGTAATACTCTGTCATCTTCCTAGCTGCCCTTTTGGTGAACCGCACTTTTCCGCGGTTCTTTAAGACCGAGGTGTACTCGTGGGACTTAAGCTTGTTGTAGTAGTCCGAGAACTTGTTGTAGAGGATGGAGATGGGCATGCCATTCAGGATGATGCCGAAGGAGATGCAGGCAAAGGCAAAGAGCCGGCCCAGGTGGGTCTCGGGAAACACGTCCCCGTAGCCCACGGTGGAGATGCTGACCTACGGATCACAGACAAGGGTGCCCAGAAATGAATGAAGAAATATTACACTATGTCCACCTTATCCACAGTGAGTGCTGGACTTTCAATCTTTGGGCCAAAAAAAAAATATTGGGTTGACTTTAACCAGCCCCACCTTACCACACTCTTTACGTGTCTGTTGGTTCTCCAGCAACCCTCGTTTCCATCCAAGTCCAAAAGATAGACTGGTCACTTTTAAACTGCCATTAGTCTGAGTATGTGTAAAGAGAGACTGTCTGCTGATTGGCTGACATCCTGGCTAAGATGTACACTGTCTGGCTTTCTCTTGCAGAGCTTTCTGCCACTGACAAGGACATCCTACAACCTAGATAGCACCTCTCCAGACATTTTCAAAGGTTTCTGTAGTGGCAGGAGAGCATCTTCTTTGCAGTTCTGAAGGTCAGATTCTGCTCCTAAATCTACATTGCTAATCAGTAATGAAAAGCACATACTTGCATCTTGGTGTCTGCTAGGAGCGTCTGCAGGACGACAGCACTTTTTTTTCTCCGTTTAATTTTGTATTATTGCTGAATAACATTTTAGGCTGAGATGGTAAAATCTAAGTAGAGGAGCAGAGTTATTTAGGTAATGACCCATGTGAGTCACTGCTGCCTCTGAGAATTGCGCAGAAGCAATAGCAGACGTTACGCTGCAGCAGGTAACCTTAGCTCACATCACCGGTGCCAGGTACCTGCTCAGGCCACGTGTCATTTCCTGTCCTGTCTACCAAGAGAGCGATGTGACACGAGTGTTTCCATATACACCTTAACCCTGAATCAGAACACCCTACTGATCCAGGATGCATTCCAGTTTTGGGAAATATGCCACTTGGACTGATTCAGGGAAAGTCTGACAAATCAGCCTGTCACTACTGTTGTTCATTAATCAGACATTAGTCTGATTCATTAGCCGGCTAAGATGAAGGTGTCTTGAAGGAATTATTGTGTAAGGTTTCCTGTTTTATTCTGACTTGACAGTTACCAAAGGAGAAAATTACTGTGAAAATGACCATCCTTAAACACGAATTTGAAACATTCATTTTGCAATAAAAAGCTATTTTGTGCTTCAGTATTACAGTTGATCTAGCACAGTTGGTTTAGCTAAATCTAGGAAATCAAGTGAAAAGTTTAAGTAGCATCAGCGTTTCAAAGTGTGTCGCAACATGGCAAGAAAAATATCTCTAGCATACTAGTCTGTTTAGAAGATGAGAGTTCATCTTTGCTAGATTTCTCATCCACACTTCAAACAAATTGGTTTGAGGCAATATACTGGATTTAGTCAACTGATTCTGCAGACTGGGTGATATTAATCATTAGTAAACCTAACTAGAACTGACACAATGGAACAGTGTTGCAGTAGTCTGAAGAAGACCTCCACTGCTTCTTTTCTCTAATAGATTGTATAACTTCTCCAAGAATACAAATCAAACATGGCATGTGCTTACCGCTGCCCACCACCAGGCATGGGGGATGCTGGTGAAGTTGGTGTGGTGGACATCATGCTCCACCGTGTAGACCATGGCGGAGAAGGTGAGGATGCCCATGGCGATGAAGAGGAAGAGGCAGCCCACCTGCTGGTAGCACTGGCGCAGCGTGAACCCGAACGCTCGCAGGCCAGTTGAGTGGCGTGCCAGTTTCAGGATACGGAAGATGCGCATGAGCCGCATGATCCGCAGCACCTGGCCCACCTTGCCCACCCGGCCCACCCTCTCGATGTCGCTGTCGTGTCTCCCGTAGTCTTCATTCTCAAAGCACTCCAGGGCCACCTGCAGGTACAGCGGCAGGATGGCGATCAGGTCCACGGCATTCAGCGCACTCCTGGCAAAGCAACTGAGGTTGGGTGTGGACACCAGTCGCAGCAGGAACTCAACGGTGAAGAAACTGATGCAGAAGGTTTCCACGTACTCTCCGTAGGTCCGCCCGCTCGGCTGGCGCGCTGCTGTCTGATATTGCATCTCCTCCACTGTATTCAGTGTCATGGCCACCAGAGAGACCAGAACAAAGAAGCTGGAGGCTACCGCCATCAGCTTAGCTGTTATTGAGGAGAAGGGCTTTTCCATCAGGTTCCAGATGATCCTTCGAGTGTGGCCAAATGACATCCCCCGGTATAGCTCCTCATTTTCCTCAATCTCCACCTCCGCCTGCAGCTCACGCTGGACCTTCAGCTGCTCGTTAATCTCATCCTGTCTCTCCTCGAAGGAGATGCGACAGCAGCGGTGAGTGTTTTTGATCCGGACCCCCCAGTAGTTGATCTCCTCCAGGAAGTTCCTTGGGCAAAGCTCATCTCTTATCCACAACACTCCGGTTCGATAGAAGTTGAATATGCTGTGAAAAACATCTGGGTCCCTGTCAAAGAAGTACTCATTGTTCTGCTCAATGTAATCATCACAGAGATCCAGTTTCTGGTTATGCTCTGCGTAGGTGGCAAGTCGCCCTATCCTGGTTTTTGGATACTTAGCTGCCACCCTATAGGAGATCTGGTAGACTTTCCCACCTACATTGATATTTAGCACGTAATTCTTGGATGGGGAGCCCAAGGTAGAACCTACTGGTTTGCAATCTTCATCCTCATCCTCCTCATCATAAAGATTGTAGCAGTCCCGGCTCAGGTCCTGCATGGAACTCCATTGCTTCATACAGGTATTTTTGGTGGAGAGGTCGGGGTCATTCATGGGGTTATTGACCCCTTGCTCTGGGACACCGACCTTATAGCTGGGAAACAGGCTGTGTCTCCGTCGTCTTAAGTTCAGCATGCCTGCTGGTCCCTTGTTTTGCAATCCGAAAATCACAATCAATTCACAATCTATTCCCAGCAGTCCAACACCCTGCAGCAGAAGCACTGAAAGGAATCAGTCACAGGCTCTCCAGTGCTGCTGACCAAGGGATTTATGTGCTTAAAGTTTTAACGGTTATGATCCTCTTGAAGTGCTTCTTCTGCTCTAATGTCTTTCATTTCCCTTGTATTTACACATCCTTCACTAAGGTTTCACTTGTGTCAGAAGATTGATTTCTCACTACAATTACTAAAAATAATGCTGTATTATGTAGCGCAACAGATCTGGTTTGTTATGTTAGTTCAAATTGTTTATTTTCATTCCATTATACTGCTCTAATGCAATAAGTCCAACTGCCAATTATTCATGGCTCAGAATGACCTGAACACCTCTGGTAATTTCTTTACATATAATGTAGCTGTTTTGAGGTACAATAATGCAATTTGTTACTGCTTACCGGCTAAGCACAAATATGTAAAGTCCTGTATTAAATTCAGTTCCACAATAATTCGATTCACACAACACTGATGCAAATTACACCCTAAAGATGAACTGCGCTCTGACAAAATGGGGACAGGTAGAGGAAAATTCATCAAGTGGAGACCAGCTCATTGGGAGAATGTGGCAGGTCCAGGAAAGCAGTCTGTGGGGGGTGGGGGTGCTCCAGTTCAGGCATCACTGCAGTATGAGAAAACTGGCAATAGCCTGAATTTAGCAGATGAGGGCCACCAAAGACCTGCTAGGCCACATCAGGTTTCCAGAACAGGGTAATTTACACTTTGTACCATTTCTGCAGTATGGACCTTCAGATGGTGCCATCAAAGGTTTCTTCTAAGAGTTGTGCTTCTTCTAAACTCAAAACAATCTTAGTAATGAGTACATTTTGTCAATTACAGAGGTAAGTATTCCAAATGAATGTTAAGGTAACCTGAAGACCCAGGCAGCAACCCACCAGGACCATGGCTGAGACCAGACTGAAGCACTCACCCAAAAAAAAAAAAAAAAGAAAAAAAAAAAAAGTGCTTTGAGTAATTCCAGTCTTGTACTAGACAGTAGCACTGCAGCTAGTGCTGGAAAACCCATCAACTCTTTGCCAACATACATAGCCCATCATGTTGCTAAGGCAGCCCACAAGACCTCCGCACTACTCAAGATCACATCACTGACCACACACACACACACACACACACACACACACACACACACACACACACACACACACACACACACACAGGTTATACTTGTGTAGTAAGAAATGCAATGATGGCAAGACGCAAAGGACCTCACTGCTTGGTATATGCCAAGCAAATCCTAAAATGTCACAAATATGGGTATTAATGTGACAGGACTCACTTCATTACCTTCATGGGTGCAGTTAAATGAGACCTAAGAAATATCCCCTTTGAATTACAGCATCCCATACACTGTAGCCAAAAATTATTTGTACAATGAAGTGTCAAAAACACAAAATTGAGGATATCGAAGAACAAACTTTAAAAAGTCTAAAACTGTTAATTGTGTGATAAGGAAACAAGAAATCTTTTCAAAACATTCTGGAATCGTTTTCAAATGTAATTTACTGCCTTCAAACAATTTTGTACACCTGGCCATTCATAGACTTGAACGAATGTGACAATGGGAGGAGTTCCTAGCCATAACCAATCATTTAACCCAACACTACATACAAGTAGCCTTGGTGGTCATTCTCCACACAAACATTTGTAGGTTAAGTGTAGTTTCCCCCAACATGGGTAAAACTGCTGAAATACCCAATGCATTGAGGAAGTCAATCATTATCCTCAATGTCCCCCCTCCAGTGTACAAATATCTGGCTACACTACTTCCCTTAGACAAAGATTAAAGCCCCGTGCCACCAATTTCATAAGCTGCAAAAAACAGCCAAGTAGCCTTGAAGACCCCCCCCCCCCATTTATATGGATACCAACAGGTGTCATTTCTGGTGTTGAACCCCACCCCTGGGAAATGGCCACCTATCCAGAATATACACAAAAGGAGGTAGAAACATAAATACTAAGATCAGGGGAGAGTCAGGTTGTGTTCATACAAGCTTGGTTCAACCAGGTTGCCCCAAACACAATGTTTCATAGAAAGCTAGCCAGTATCTCCCAGTGTGAACCAGTCCACCATCTACTCTTCACTGGTCCTGAGAACTCAGGAAGGAAGAGGCCAAAATTTCACATATTATTTTATTTGAAGTGATTGCAAATGTTTTATGCTTTCACAGAGTCAAGTACCCCTGTACAATGCTATAAAAGGTCACAGGAACAGCACAAACATACAAAATATTTTAACAAATTCATTTTTTTTTTTTTAAATACATCTCTACCCTGGTACTATGCCCAACCTTTGCAAAAAATTGATTCAGTCCAATGTATACAATCTTATTTACAGAGTAAGCTTGATCAAAGTGCTTCGATGTCCTGATTGCAATTTTTCGGGACAGTATGTACAAATTTCCTAGTTTTACAAATGTCATAACAGCACATTCCTTATAGAGCTTGCCTCACCAGCATACAGAAGCTTCATAAGAATGTGCTTCAGGAGGTAATACAATTGATAAAAAGTCACATGGTTTAAGACATGACTGCCTAAAATATGCATCTCAATATTCACAGGCTGTTAACTATGCGGTCCAAGCATTCTGTACCAATGACACTTCAGTATCCTGCCAGAGCAGGCATTGGATTGTGGGAAAAGAGGGTAAATGGAGAGAAAGTAGAACAGATCACACCCAAAGGCCAGGCTGCTCTGGGCATGCTCAGTGCAGGTCTTAGGGATTCAGTGGATTTATCATATACACTATAAACAGTGACAAGCATCCCACACCCTCACCCTGCCACACCTCAAAGTAAAAAAAGAAAACAATGCACATCAGAAGGCATCTGGTTATAGCTCTGCTAAATAGCAGCTGTTGGCATGGACACCAAAGAGATCGTAAACAGATGGAGTGGTGTCAGACTAGGCTATAAGTCATCCTCTGTATTCACGACAGATATCTGCAAAGAGAATACAAAAAGTTAGGAGAGCACAGGCATGAAACTATTCTGGAGGTGTCAGAACCACAAGCATTTCCCACAGAACTGTAATGCAAAAATCAAAGTATGAAAATGATGTTCAAGAACCTGAACCTCAAAGTGCCAACATTAGGGACACGGTCATGCATTTTGCAGGCCAACCTGTCCCCCCCGTCCCCCCCTTATTTCAGTAGCAGGTAAGGAACCAGGTACTCACAGCGGGATACGTGTGGCCGACTGACGAGCTATGCCGACTAATGTCAATGTTGAGGTCCTCCTCGGTGGTCTTTAAGTACACAGGGTTGTCGAAGTTCATGCTCTTCTTGTTCTTCAGTTGCCAGTTGCGCCACATCAGGTAGCCTCCCGCAGCAGTCATCGCAAGCAACACTGTCAGAAGGAGCAGACCAGGTGAGTCACACGTTAGTAGATGCCAAGCATCTAAACCTTCATGATTCCTTGTTCTCCAATTCCAGAACCCTTTAGACCAGGGGTGCCCAACTCCAGTCCTGGAGGGCCAGAGCCCTGCACATTTTTGGGTTTCCCCTCATTTTAACACACCTGATTCAACTCCTTGTGCTGATTACCACACAGCTCTTGAGCTGAATCATTTATGGTGGAACAGGGAAAGAACTAAGCTACACAGGGCTCTGGCCCTCCAGGACTGGAGTTGGGCACCCCTGCTTTAGACTAATACACCCCACCCATGTTTAAGTTTTTCATCCCAAAACGCATTTTGTACAATTGGTCCCACTAAAAGGCAGAGACGCTCCCCACTTAAGATTTGAAGGTTCAAAACTAGACGATTCCATTTACAGATCAGACAATTACAATATTCATTTATACCAGTGCATTTATCCAGTCTCATCTACACCATTAACTTTGTTCTGAAAATTTTTTGCCATAAACTGCTGTAAATTCCAGGCTACCAGAGACCAAGAGACACTGGGTGCTGTGTAGACCCAAAACAGTACTTACAAACAGGAAGGATAGCCCAGGCCGCAGCTGATCCTTTGGCTGAGGAGTTCACCTCATGGATGGAGGTGCTTATATTCCCCTCTTCAAGAAAAACAAACAGGTTAGTCTGGAGGAAACCAACTTGCCCATTTACCATTAGGAGCCCATTCCCTGTCCAACAAGGTCAGACCAAGATGTCACCTGACTCAAAACACTGGAATTTCAGTATAACCCAAGGTCAGGAGATTCTGTGCAAAGACACGATTCAAGATGCCAGACTGAAGATGAATAAGTCAGAGAAGACCAGCAAACTCATGTTACCCCTTTCCCCACATGAGCAAAGTCAAGTGGCCCTGTACTTGAATACCAGCTGTGTCTACATGGATCAGGACCAAGCCCCACCAAAGTCAGCTTCTGTGATTTTCCATAAGAACTGGGAAACTGACCCAAGTACTGAAGCACTCTTATTCACAGGATCAATTACTTTTGTCTAACACACACGATAGACAAAAAAAAAATAAAAAAATCAATGCCCGAGTACTGCCTTGCAGCACATGAGGAGAGATGTGCAAGCAATGTGAAAAAGCTAGCAATGATGGGTGGAAAGGACACATTCACAAGAGAACCTCCATCAAAAGCCACACCAAGATTTTTCAAGCACCCAGTCTTCCTCTTCAGTTAGATGCTTCTCCCTTTGGGCTTACATTACTAGCATGACAGCATAAGGATCTAGTCCTTCATGCAGGTGAAGGAAAACATGAAAACCCCCACGGGCCCATGAGGAATTTCCATGGACTCTGGAAAAGTGCTCTTGGCTCAGTTTAGGCCTAACAGGCCAATTTGACACCATGTGACAGAGCTGCACCTAGCACCTGTTCAGATACAATGCCTTGGGCGCCCAGAGAAGTTGCAAGAGGCTGGGGTCAGCGTTGCCGTTACCTTTAGAACAAGGGGGCTGCACGAGTGCCTTCACATTATCCCCTGGGGGCGAACCGGCAGCTGCAGTTGAGACTATGGAACGCCACAGGGAAGAGGGGGGGTGGTGGAAAGGAGAAAGTCACCTTGCTTCTCAACAGTTTCAAAATCACCGAGGCGAAAACTACACACAAAAAAAAAATGCATTCCCATGACACACCATGCAGCATCCAGCTACAGAAGGTGGCCATTCAGATTCAAGGCAGCACCACTGCAAAGCACTTGACACTAGGAGCTGAGCCAAAGAGACAGCAAGTGGAGGAGAGGCAAATACCAGATGCAAAAGGGACTGAGGCACAGGGGCGCCCCAAAAGCTAATGGACCGCATGGAAGTGGGACTGAAATGTACTACTGCTTTGAAGATCCGGAACAGTGCTACCACCACCAAAGCTGTTCCAAGGCTGCAGTTAGCCCCTTACAGCAGCTAGGTTCAGTTGCTGATCAAGAAATAACCACCAAGTCTAGGCTCCGAGGACCAGATCAGAGGCCCTACACCTCAGGCGAAGGACCACATGTAACTGCTGCTTCGCTAATTTTGCTTGTATGACACCAAGGTGCCCACAGGGAGAACCTGAGGGAAGGGACACCCATCCAGTCACAACCCTGCCTCAGCCAGCCTCCCACCAGGCACGAGTCTGACTATGGGGAGCTTGTCTGCAAGCCAGATTCAAAAAGGTCCCTGCTGGCTACTTCTGGGACACACCCCAAGCAGGGACGGGAGAAGCAGAGCTACAATAGGTCGACTTCCATACACTTGGGTAAACAGACTTTGGATAGCACTGCAGTTTACCAGGCTCACAAATCCCATGGAGGCAGTTAAGGCAGAAGCACATCTCAGGGCTGTTAAAAGGACACCACTCCCACCCACAGCAGTGACTAGTCAACTAATACTCAGTTGGACTTTAGAACCTGAACCTACACATTCCCACACCATTTGGTAGCAGACTCAAGCTCCTGAGGGGTAGGGAGGGGGGGGGGATGTTAGATGTAGAGGGCTCTCTGGATCAATGTTATGGAGGGGCCACATCTCGGCACAGAAGCGACATCGGAGGTAGCGCTGGCCTTGGGAGTAATGGGAGCGAAGACGAGCGTACAGCAACAATGGCTGCGAGTAGGCAGCACTGGCAGGCAGCAAGTAAACCAAAAGGTGCTCGGGCAGAGGAACATGCTTGGGTAACCAGTAGGATGCAAGCTTCTTAAAGGCCTGCAGATTACCCTCAAAAGGGAGAAGGAACCCCCTTTCCCCCTCCCCCACTTGCCTGGTCTGCAATGAAGGCCATCTGCTGAGAGCTCCATGCCCTGGGGGCACACACAGGTGTATTTTGGCGAGTGCTTATTGATCTGCGGTGCAGGCAGGCACATGTAGGCACAACCTCCATTTCCCACCTTCTCACTGCACCAGTTAATTCCTGTGAAGTTACAGCCAAAATTTAGCTCTTCGCCATAAAATTCTAAAATTCATAAATCTCATGAATGAAAACATAAAAATAGTTACTATCCCTGGCCAAAGATTTTCCCCACCCAGCCTGCAGACCCACCAGAGAGCTGAATCAGCTCGTGGTAAACAATGATGTCCTGCGGCTCATTCAGGTTGCTGGCAAGCGTGATCAAATCCAACCCTGTAAATTTGTTCGCCCCGTAGATTGCCTCATTCTCGCCATCTGTCCAGAATACACGATCCTAACACAGAAAGCAAACGTTAACACGGTCAGGGACTGGGATTGTGTACACACAGCACAGCATCGTAATAAGGCGTGCCAACTTGAAGCAGACCGTTGTGATGCCCTTTGGTATCAAAGCACAACTGTAGATACACCTACTGTGGCATATGGTAGCACCAACAAACTACACAGAAAGAGTACATTGATTTTAAATAGTCAACTGGAAAAGCTAATTCTCAGCCCATCATGGACACAAGTTATGAAGTAGCCTATTTTACCTCAAAGACAGTGAGGGCGAAGGGGTGAGGGAGGTAATCAGGAGACTGTAGTATTTTGCGCCTGTTGTCCCCATTAAGGTCCACACTACAGAGCATGTGCAGCTTGGAGTCCACCCAGTAAAGTCTGCTTTTGATGAGGTCTGGAAGCCAAACAGCAGAAGAGCAGGTCAGACTTTTCCCTCAGGCAGGCAGGACAGCCTACCAGCATTACATGACACAGGCATCCAGGCAGCATGGTCAAGGATACAGACCAATACGTTCACTGTTCAACTCAGATGGCCTGTATGGTTATGCCTTTCTGAATGGCTTTTACCAAAAAGCTCTCATTTCCACATTTGCCCCATTAAGAGTCTATCCCTCCATCCACTGGGTTGCAAACCCACCGAGAGTGATCCCATTGGGCCACTGGATGTCTGTCTCAACCAGGACCTGCCGGTCAACACCATTCATGCCAGACTTCTCAATCTTTGCTGGTTCTCCCCTATCTGACCAGTATAGAAACCTAGATGGTGACAAGGGGGGGTTATACATGTAGATTTCAATGATATGCTTGCATACATTACACACCAAGAACAGACTACATAAGGCAATAAACTCAACCCATGATCAGACTGTCCTTGCAATTGGTGGGCAAGCAGTTAAAAATTCAACATGAGCAAACATCAGTTACCCAGAAAGTGGATCCACAGCTATGGAGGCTGGCTCTTTCAAACCAGAGCTAAACAGAACCTTCCTCTTAGTCCCATTGAAGTTGGCCACAGAGATGGTCTTGGTGGCTAGGTCAGACCAGTACAGGTTCTTGTAAATCCAGTCTACAGCAATCCCAATAGGTGTCTGTATGTTGTCGATTACTTTCGATACACCCTCATCCCGCTTGTCCAGTGACGTGCTGCAAAGGCAGGGCAAGAACAAATGTCAGGCACTCAGAATGGCAAAGTACCTCAAAGTCCCAAGACATCACTGAAGCAGTCTGCAGAGGGCCAATAACTGGTGTGAAGACTCATTTTGACACCATAGGAAGGGACTTCACCAATAAGACAAGTCAAAAGGTACCAATTACAGTGGGGACCTGGATCTCACTAGCAAACTTTACAAAAGGCCTTGAGGAGTAACTGCACTCATATTCCATCAGGTCGGTGGTTCTACATTAACTTGAGCACTTACAGGGCTGTAGGTGAATCAGCCAATGGCACTGAACTACAAGGAAATCTGCAGCCTGAGGGATGAAATACAAGGTGCCTAACAGCACACATGGGAGGGCTGATGGGACAGGCCATTCGCGATTATGGAAAAATTGGGTTGCAACAGGCAGATGGAGTCACTGATAATCAGCACCACTCAGATACCTGAAAATAGCCTTCTGCCCCAGGTCAGCCCAGAAGATCTTCTGCTGGGTGAAGTCTGCATCCAGAGCAACAGTGTTGCGGAGCTGTTCCACAATCTGCGTGTACTCCCTCCGTTCCAGGCCCAGCTTTCGGATATCCCGTCGATTAGTGAAGATCAGACATGGTTCCTTCCCTGATGGGGGTGTACAGTGGTTAAATGTGCCAGCTTCTGTTTTTCTCCAACTTTGACAAAATGAACACCCTCCCAAGACTGCCAATAGATCATTCCACTTACCCACTGCCTTACACACTCCAGTGGAGGCATCCATAAGGTAGCCATTGTGACACTCACACTTGTAGCCCCCTTTCAGGTTGATGCAAATCTGGCTACAGATTCCAGGGTTCAAGCACTCGTTGATATCTGTTCAAAGCACGGTTTTAGAGGCATCACAGCACCAGAGTGTTACCCACAATGCACCTGCATGCATATCAACGTACCGCCACAGGTCTTTCGGTCTATGAGCTGCAGTCCTGGAGGGCAGTCACACTCGTAGCCAATCACATTGTCCCTGCAGATGTGGGAGCATCCACCATTGTTCTGGAGGCACTCGTTCAGATCTGGACAGGGAGAGAGGAGGAAGACCACACATTGACTGCAGATTCTGGTGTCCATCTGTGAAACACCTCACTTATAATCCTGCTTTCTCAGCCTAGGGTTCCCAGAGTTCAGGGGAAACAGTCGTCTGAATAAAATTCTTATTTCAGGCTGCAGAATTGTTCTCAGCACCCTAACATTTAATAGTAGGAAAGACCCCCCATGGTTCCGTTGGGTTTGAACTAAGGAAGTAAACTAGCCCCAAGGTGATTCGATTGATTAGGGAACAAGTTGATGAACGAGAAATATCATTTTTACCAGGATGAAATTCAAAATCACATTTTGAGAACCTAAATTCAAAAACAATTAACTTCACTCGTTTACCCTAAATCACAATAACAACCTTAACCTACCTAGCCTTAACCTTAAGTAACCAAACAACTAAAAATGCTAAGTCTTGTATTTTGTTTGATATTATTAAAAAATTCCCCGTGGGAACTGAAGTGGTCCCCATGTCAAAATACCAGGTCTCCCCCCCACATTGTGGGGACACTCTCAGCTATGGTATGTCGATGTGAATATTTTGAGTGATAAGTCAAAAAAGAGGGTTTTAAAATGCTATACCGATAACCAGAACTGCCGCTGCTGGTCAAATTTGGAAAACTGATTTGCAGGCCAGATTTAGTTATAAATTAAACGTATCAGACTCATAGGCGGTGAATAAAAGTTGAGTCGCCCTCCACTATGGAAAAATGGCTGTTCATCAAATTCAATCTCCATTATTTCAGTAGTTGTGTTTTTAGCTCTTGATTGAGAAGTTCAAATCTGGCAGAAATGCCGGCCAAGACTGACAAAGACAGATATCTCAACGAATCTGCCAATGCCAATATATTAAAAAGATAGTTGATCTGAATACAAGTATAAAATTGCAATGCAACTATTGAAAAGTACTTCAGCTAGGGAGAAACTAAATGTAGTTGACAAAATAAATTTAAAAGTCCTTTGGGAATTGAAACCTGCAAGGTTGACAACTGGCATCTGCAATATTGCAAGTCTAATAGAACCTTGTGTATTAATATTAATATAAACATGTTACCCAAGTATGCCACGACAGAGTATTAAATTTAATTGCCCATGAGAATTTTAAGCTCACTGACAAATTTACACAGACCAAAAACTGCTTCCAGCAAATAAATCCTGATATACAAGGTTGCCTGACAGTTCACAGGCTAGTAAAACAATTATGCAAGTCCTGGTGAACAGTAGTCGAATTACTGTCAGCTTTAACCTGACAAACACAGCAGGCATACGTAATGGAGGGGGCAGCTGGAGGAATGATCTGCCAACTGGGAATTTAACCAGTTTAATTTAAACCCCTCAATTTGGGGGGGGGGGGGGGGTCTCATGATATGCAGGTTAGAAGAAAAAAGCATCAACTGCGACCAGACTATGCCCCCTAACCAATATCTACATGACGCGTTTTCTGAAAACTGAAAGCAATAGGACTGCCAACAGCTGCTAGATACTTTCCCTGATCTGGGATCAGATGTAAGCATATTTCCATCTGCCACAAGCTCATGCAGGAGTACAGAGGCCAGGGTTGGAGGTGCAGGGGGTTTGGATGAGGGACTCGGGACGTTGTGATGCTGACACAGCACTGCCTCAGACAATGGCAGCATCACAACCAGGGAAGGAGTTTAAAACTGTTATTGGACTTTAATTGGCTCCAAGCAATAGTGTCTGAAAGGAGGGGCTGTTGACTTTCAAGCCAGAGCGCAGCACCAAGAGAAGCACCAACCCCAGCATGAGGATGAAGGCCCAGAGCGCCATTCAGCCCTGCCTGCAGCACACCCATCCTAACACCCACCGAGACAGAGTGGCACCATCTCAGCTACAGGGCAGTTTGTGGAAATTCCTCAGTCAAACCGGGTACAGGGACCCCAACCGTGACACACAGGTCCAAATCACACCCACTCACTGCATTCTTTGATTGGCTCGTCGCTCCAGTCTGAACAGTCCCGGACCTTGTTGCACACTTTGCTCGTCTCAATGCACTCTCCACTCCGACATTTGAACTTGTCAGGATCATTGCACTGGGTCACTGTGGGGGTTGGGGGTAAGAGGAAAGAAAAAGACATTTGTTACCATAAAACAGAAGAAGTTATTTCCAGGCCCAGTGAGACTTTATTTCAAGTATAAATGATGTATTGAGAAAAATTTGACGACATATGCAGTGCTCCTCAAAGGACTAGGTCATGCCAGTGACCTTTGTTTGGGTTCACGAATGAGCCAGTGCCACTTTTAAAGGTCTCACACATCCTTATGGGATCCATTTGTTGCGACTCACAGGCAACTCAACTTTTTGGAAAAAGTATTTTAAAAAACCAGGACACACTGACCTCCCTCAGGACCAGAGCAGAACCCCTGTGACAAACCCGTAGCTCTGACAGCGGAAGAGAATTCATTACTGGGGACTGGTGCATTTTAGTATCTGTCACCGAGGCAACCCAAAAACAGCTTAAGCCTCTTGGGAAAGAGCAGATTTAAGCCCAAGAGTTCAGCTCTTTCAAGACTTAACTTTTGGGAAACGAGTCCCCAACCCGCCACTTGGGCCATGATCCTGCCCAGTCCATGCTGAAGAGCCACCTACCGTTTTTGCAGTTGATCTCGTCGCTGCCATCAGCGCAGTCCCTCAAACCATTACACTGCCGGCTGCCATGAATGCAGCTGCCGTCTTCACACTTGAACTGATCTGGTCTGCAGGTTCGCACAGCTAGAAGACGGAATGGGACATTGCAAAACCAGTGTCACATCCATAGAAACCACAGCTGACAACTCACACCTTGAGGGGATGAGATCCAACCAAGCTTCACCTGAGAACTGGACATCCTCTTTACCCCAATTTGACACTGCATGCACACAACAGGTAAACCACACCACAAGGACTGAGAACAGGTGGTTTGGCTGAGACCATAAACTCAACACTTTCACCATCATTCAAGATCGAGTATGATTATAAAAAAAAAAAAAAAAAAAAAAAAAAAAAAAAACACACACCATGTTTCCCACCGCTGCATTTGTATGAGCTCTGCATGCACTAAGCAAACCATTTGTCCTTGCTGTTGGTACATTGTGCCTGGACAGATGTATGCCTCGGTAACCCTACTTGCTAGAAGACCCAACCAATCAGAACTCTTGGCACATGCAAACGGCCAATGGTAGACCAGCCAAAACACTTAATTGTTAGCAGGTAGGCTCCACTCACGGCAGTTGACCTCGTCGCTACCATCCTTGCAGTCTGTGTCACCATCGCAGCGCCACTTGCGGTGGATGCACTCGCCGGAAGCGCAGCGCATCTCGCCAGAGGGGCACTTGGCGGGTGGCGTGGGCCGGCGGCCGCAGCGCTGAGGCGACTCGTCCGACTGGTCCTGGCAGTCCACGTCGTCGTCACAAACCCAACTGGCGGGAATGCACGTGGCATTGCCACACTGGAACTGGCTGGGCCCGCAGGACGACGGCACGCAGTCTAGCTCGTCACTGCCGTCACCACAGTCATCCTCGCCGTTGCACACAAAGTTCCGTGAGACGCAGCGGCCGCTCGCACATGTGAACTCCAAAGGGGCGCATGTGATGTTGCCTGGGAGCAAATCAGGACATCGAGGCAGGTGTTAATATTTTACACAGGCCAAAGACAAACAGCTCGCTTTATAAAAACGGGGTATTGCACAGTCAAGTTAGATAGAACTAGCAGCCAAGCAACTGAAGGGGACTTAATACATTGAAATTTAGCACAGGAATTCAGGTCAAGCATGTCTGTTCAGGGGTGACCCAGCAGAGCCCGTCGTGAGACCTTAACTGGCAACCTTCAGGCTGCCCGTCCACATCCTGCAGATCATGGCAAGTGCATCCAAGGACGACGGAAACGTACCACAGTTAACCTCGTCCTCGCCATTGTCGCAGTCCTTCTCGCCGTCACATTTCCAGAACACAGGAATACACTGAGTGGTTCCGGTGCCACAGCTGAACTCGTTCACACGGCAGGTGCGTGCGTCTGTGGGGGAAGGAGGCCGGGCATCAGCCGAAAAACAAAAATGTCACATTGGAAACAGCACGCCAGACTAGCAATCACCGTATTAAATACTACAACACTACTATACTGGGGACTGGCCTGGGCTTCGTATAAGTCATGACTCCCAGCCAAGTAGTCTGATTATACTAGATAAAATTAACTATTTGATCTATTTTGCGATATAGGCAAATTGTAAAGGCTGCAAACTCAAATAAATCCAGTATGTTTGGTTCGGACAGCTCATGCGCACACACAGCCAGCACATACAAAGTCTAAAGGTATGACTTAAGGCAAGCAGAATGACATCCTGGGAATACAGTCACACTGAAAGTACCACCAAACGGGTCCATTAGGACCCCAACCCACATTCCAGATACGACAAGCTGCTGCCACCATTTCGCCATGGACACAACTGCCTGGTCTGAAGCCAGCAGGAAGTACTGCCAAAACTTCCACATACTTCGTCTCCCCCAAGCCCCGCCTCCAGCCCGTCACGACAGCGTCGGGCCAAATGAGCTCAGCCACTGTCCAGGGTGGGGGCCAAACCTCACTGGAGCATTACGTCAAAGAATATTTAATGAGGGGCCATCTGGTGTCTCGCAGCCCACACACTGCATAAGAGGGGGCAGAGAATTCATCTACTACTCCTCTCGTTTCAAGTCACTGAAGCTGGGCCATGTTGGCACGACTGTCAAAAGCTACTTCTGTGGGGGGACAGACTGGTTAAACGTATTCATGGAAGCGCCGTCATGTGATCAGACATGTACAGGAAGCAGAAGGCTAATTGGAGAGTATATGGAAGGAGACCAAACGCCCCATATCTAGGTTGGTGTTCAAAGAGAGTTGAAGAACCACAGACGCATTGGACAAAAATCGGGCACGGCTGACTTACAGCAAACATCAGCGCTTTCGTCGGATCCATCTTCACAATCCGGCTCGCCGTCACAATGCCACCTCTTGGGGACACATTGACCGTTCCGGCACACGAAGTCTACCTCTACACAGGTCTTCCTCACTGCGAAGAAGAGCACAGCAAACGGGGGGGGGGGTCACTGCACCGCAAAATGATGTTAAGAGGCAGAAGCAGCGCAGCTACACCTGACAGCAGCACAAGCACGCTTCCACCGGAAAGCAACGCTGCGAGGAACCAGAGGATATTTCCACCTTAATGAATTAGGCTTCCGAATTGCCATCTGACACCGAACTTTAAATATCTCCACCTCCCCCCACAAGCCCCAGAAACACAGAGCAGTCCTTGAACAAGGTCACCACTTCAGTTAGACCTCACCTTCTACACAGTCGCTCCTGCTCCACACAAGGGTTACAAACCCATAGTAAATGTTTATTTCTGCTTCTCCAAAACATTCCCTGCAGTGCATTTTCTACTACATTCAGCCGATTTCCTGCCTTAAGGCGAGTTTACAGGACACCAGAACCATTAGAGGCCAGAAACTTGTCTCAGCCAGACAGAAATTACATCATGAAGGCCATCAGAAGGTCTATAATAGAAGCTGTAGCTACACATGGAATGTCACGCCAGGGTTGAGCGGGAGCCAGCTGGACAGCCCCATGTGACACTCCGATATTCCGGCAGAAAGCCTTCCACTCCGGAGGCCCGGGTGTCAGGCAGAGGGGGCCAACGGGCCCTTCCGAGAACTAAGGAAGGTCCAAGATCAGAAACGACAAGCCACTAAGCTTTCGGTGAAACCTCGAGCCTTCCTCGCCGTTTTATGACACAGAAGCCATTGATTTTATGCAGGAAAAAAATAGGAGTCATAGCATGAATCAGGAGAGAGAGTCAGAATCAGCAGTCCACAGGCACTGCCCCAAAGCAAACAGAAACAAGTCTAGATAAGTAAGGGGGGGTTGTTCCATTCAGTCTTCATGTCAGTGGTAACTGAAGAGAGAAAAGCTGATGTATCCTGAATAGAGGAAGGGAGGCCACAAGCAACCCCGTTACCTAGAGGCATCGAGGAAGACTGGGACCAGCCTGTAAAACTGGAGGCAGGTAGAGGCACGGGGCAGCAGCGACCTCACAGCACCTATACCCTCTTTGCCTCGGCCTTCAGTTCTGGCCCTGCGTCTCATCCCTCATTTCTCTCCGTTTGCAGGAGTCTCGCGACACTTCTGGGTGATCCAGTTCTTAGGCTGGTGGCCTCCCTCTCCATCACTTCCAGACTCCTATGACCCAGATAGCGCTTAGATACAGAAAGACTGGAGGTAGACGAGTGCAGGACATGGAAGGCATCAGACCAAAGGTGACAAGTCTCACTAATCCGGCCTCAGTCTCCCCGCAAGAGGGCAGACAGACAGAAAATGATGCACACTTCAGTTGCCCTGACAACCAGCCTCAGCCTCTGGAGGCATCGCTCCTTAGTGGCGTCACATGTCCCCTGCAGGATAGGAGTGAGGCAGGAGCCACACCCAGGGAGGGGCCTCACCGCAGGTGCTCTCGTCGCTGCCGTCAGAGCAGTCTTCATCTCCATCGCACCGCCACACAGAGGGGATGCAGCGGCCGTTTCCACACTGGAACTGGGAGGGGTCACATTCTGTCTTGGACCCTGGGGAGGCAGGATATATAGAAGAGATGAGGATAAAGAAGAAACAGGGTTTTTTTAGGAAGGGGGCAGTCAACACAGCCACATGACTGACAGCTGAATAGTCCTTCACTGCTTTGTGCAGGAAAGGAAGTGAATCATACTGCACCCAGCTAAGGGGGGGGGGGGTGACCAGGGTAAACAGAGACCTTGTTATTGAACAAGCAATCGGGATGACAGGAACCAAACCTTGAACGCTGCCTGAACCACACGGGGTAAATTAGCAATGTTATGCATCAGCCACCCCCCCCTCCCCCAACCTGGCCACCGGCCACCATGTCTACGAGCCCAGATCTCATTAAAAATCGGCAGACTGTCAGATCAGAGAGAAGCTTTAATCAAAATCATCCCCATTATGAAATGGCACAAGGCAGCTAAGAATGGGAGGTGGGTTGCAGGAGTCAAACCAAGGTGCACAATAATCTAAGAGAACTCTGCCTGTTCAGCATGCCCAGATGCTGGCCGAGAGAGTACGACCATTCACAAGCAGCGGACCGAGCAAACAGGGCCCCAATGGGACGATTCAGAGAACAAAACGTTGTTCAACAAGTGTCCAAGACCCACCAATTACACAAGGGCTTCTGCGACGCCAAATCACTTCACTACACTATACAAAACAGCCAACCTATATAAAAGTTACTTCACACGCCAAGCAGATGACTACCAAATAAGCAGTAGTAGGTTACTCTGATAGAAGCTTGCATCAAATCAGGAAGCAGTTCTGGATAGGTACCCTCAGCATATACAACCAGCCCGGGTCACTTGTGAGCCTCTGTCACCATGCAGGCTCTGCCGGAGACGTTGACGCTTTCCCCTGACCGCTGATAAAAGGAGACAATTAAATTTGGGAATATAAGATTCAGTTTGCAAGAGGACAAAGTAAGGCTTTTAGGTGCAATTTCAAAATATTTGATTACATGTATAGTCAAACAGGATCGCCCCCAAAAGCCATGGGCAATTCCCTGGCCTGTTGTCATGGAAACAGTAATGTAAATCATGTTATAGTGCAGGGGTGCCCAATCCTGCTCCTGGAGATATACCCCCCTGCAGAGCTTAGATACAGCCCTGATTTAACATAAGTGATACAGATAATCAGGCACTTCAGCATCACCTCAGTATTAGAGTCAGCTATGTTGAAGTTAAGCTGGCTCTCGTACTGAGATATAACTGAAGGGCCTGATTGTCTGTATCAGGTGTGTTAAATTAGGGCTGTACCTAAGCTCTGTAGGGGGGTAGATCTCCAGGAGGGGGGTTGGGCAGCCCTGTTATAGTGGCTAATCGGAAATGAAGGCATGTATTCAGATGATTCAATTTCTTGTTCCAGAAGCGTTTTTATACCCCAGCTGCTCTCAAAACAGTTGAAACACTAATGGAGATTAGTGGTCTTCAAAAATTTCGACGAGTCAGGTTTTTCCCCCATAGGCTGAACTGAAACAGGAAGACAGTTGTCACGCCTGTGTTCACCACATGATTGTGAAACAAACACCATTCATCAGTGATCTTCACCATCACCACACTATACCAAGATGGCACCTTGATCTTCTCCAAGGTCCCCATGGTTCTGTCCTAGTTGGTAGAGATTTTTCCATTCAGTCCGGTGATGAGTCAGCATTTCCACCATTCACGTGAAATGGATTGATTTCCAAGCACACAACTTCAAATCACTGTGCCATCATTTATTCACACCAAAACCAATTCAATACTGCATAACAGGCCCCATCAACAGCTACACCACTAACTTGCATTAGCGAGTCCAGAATCAAAATCGTCCCAAAAGTAGTGGGCACAGGAAACCAGAGCACCCAGGAAAAGCAGAGTGAATTTTAGTTTTGTAAATTGAATACTTTCGAAGAGTCCTTTCCGACACAGCATTCTTAAAACACTGAGGAACCAGCTCCGTATGAATGAGGGATGCAGTGACTGCATTTGTCCTTGACCAATCCTGATTTAAAAAAAATAAAAAATTTGTAAAGCCCAAACAGCCGATACTGATCTGGGCCAAATCAAATTCTTGGGTCGATTCAAGACAGATAAAAAGAAATGAGGTTTAAGGCTGCTAATTAACACTTTAATGAACCTGGCTTTGTTTAAACAAACCTTTTTAAAATTAAATGGCTCTGCTAGCATCATTTAACTGCCGATTCCAAGTGTTTGAGGCAGTTCTCAGACAACTTTTTGTTAATGTCTTGCACACTGCAAAATTTCACATTTTCATACAAACTAAATGGAATTTCCAGACAGACATGCTTCCCATAAGCCAGTGGTTCCCAACCCAGTCCTCAGGGACCCCATACAGTCCACATTTTTGCTCCCTCCCAGCCAATCAAGACCAAGGGGCTGGTACACTTGGTACAGGTGTTGGGAGGGAGCAAAAATGTGGACTGTCTGGGGTTCCTGAGGACTGGGTTGGGAACCACTGCCATAAGTGTTTTTACGTCACCGACCACCCAAAATTAGTAGGGGCAGAGGTGGGATAGGGGGCACCAGCGTGGATGGAGACAGGAATAAAAGTAACGTTGGCAAACTACTAGATCGGCTCATAAAATTGCCCATAATGAGAGAATGACCAATTGCCAGTCAGTGCCGGGGGGGGGGGGTCCCTCCACTTCTGGTCACTTACTGATTGACGGTACATCCTTTAGGAATTACAGCTCAGAGTCTGCCGAATCAAACACATCCTGAAAATCTGTACCTCTAAGCCATGATGCTCCCAAAAGATCTAAGTTCATAAAGACCCAATCCATGAACCTTTGGCAGCAGTGTAATAGTGTTTATAATGGAAAGTCTGAAAGGGATAAATAGAGAAAGAAATCAAATTTCGAATCTGCCACAGAAATGACTGGAAGAGTGCCAGATGCCCCTTTGCAGGTGATAGGAAATCCCACGATGTCCTCTTGCGCCATTTACATGCAAAGCCCTCAGTTCAATAGGGTTTCACTATCCCCTCCCCCAGCAGTGGCTGGTGTGTTGCAGCCGACTACTTTTTCCACACTTGCACTATACATGTCTCAGCACCAGCCTCCCGAGAAACTAAGGAAGAGCAATAGGAAAAAAATTAAATCTAATTCTATGATTCTGATAAGAGATTTTCCCAAAGTAAAGGAGGCCAGGTCTCCAGCGGTCCCGGAGCTCATGTGCAGAGCGCCCCAGTCGCCGCACCAGGAATAGCAGGCGCTGGCAGCCGGGCTATGCGGACAAAAGCACGTAGCCCGACACCGTAGCAAATGTCATTTTCACGGCAAGACAGCGAGGCGAGGGGCAGCACGACAGCAGACCTGCGCTCCTCCATAATGCAGCGGCATTTTGAAACGACAACCACTGTACAGCACCGTTAACATCCCGCAATTACAATCACCTGTTCCCAGGCAATTAGTCATCCCCACCCCCTCCCCGCAACGGGGAGATTGCGGTGATGCTATAAGGCCATGTTAGCGGAACCCCCCCAACCATTTAGATGTCAGATTTAAAACCCTAGGCTTATAATCAGAACACCAAAACACAAGGTCAATCTTTTAAAATTCCCGGTTCCTATTGTTCATACGAAGGGCTGCGTTTCGCCACGGTCAAAATGTAAAGGAGCGCGTTTACATGAACCCAGGCTCAGAAGAAAATAAAATCAAAGACACACAACCCCACAATCCCTGAACGCATTACCTTATCAATATTTAAAAAGAAAAAGGCGTCGCATAGACAATACAACAATCCCCCCCTTCACACCAGAAAATAAAAAGCACCGAGTACGTAATTCACAAGTAGCGCGGAACGCCGCTAAGAAGGCGGCACGATCCAGACGATCAGACGTACATGAAACGATGATTATAATAAAGACACAGACGAGACCTTTAAAGGCCTCCAAACGGCGGCCGGCTACATTCGCCGGGTCTCGGACGCAGATCCGCTCGTCACTCGCCGGAGGAGAAAAAAAAACGGCTTTATATGCGCGTCACTAACAGCTTAACGATAATAATAATAAAAAACAGACTCACCCCCAACAAAAACGCCGTGCTGAAGACATATGGGAAGAATGAGAAAGCCCAGAACAGACGTGAGCATTTCGCGGTATGGCTTTACACTGAGCGCTGCCCCCCCGTCCTTCTGCACTGTTTAATGTGGCACGGCCGATATGCCTGCGTGGGACGAACAGGGACCTCGCAAATCCTGCCTTTTTATCTCATTCACCCGGCGCCCTTCAGTCCATTCGCTTCCCCCGTTCGGACCTACACCCGCAATCCATGTCCTAATTTACTGATAGCGTGAACCTGCGGCAAATAACCACGTCGGTCGAGCCGAGATTTTTTTTTCCCCTTCAACATGTCATTTACACGCATTTAACCCTTTCTATCCCTCCCCCCCCCCTCGCCACTTCGAATGGCACGGGAGCGCGCCGAGTCCCTTAACAGCTCCCATAAATTGCTATTTGCGTTTGTTCTTCAGATTGTCATTGCCGATAAACATAAATGCATTAATTTTATGTGACAACAAATTCAGAATTATAGGCTACTCATCATTAAGCGTGACTGAATGACGCAATTGAAGAAATTGTTGCAAAACCTGAGTAAGATGTTGCAATACAACTTGCATATAAATGTATTTGTATGTTTAAGTTTAATTACGTTACATAACACGTGCATTATAAATGGATTATACTTTAAAAACACTTGCAAGTGTTTTTAAAACTAGGCCTAATACAGGGTTGTTTAAAAAGTCCCCCTTCGCCTTTTTACAAAAAAAGTCCGGTAATATTTTTATGATATATTGTACCTTTCCTTGCTATACAATTTGCTCATTTCAGTAGAATGTCAGTCTTCAAAACTGAAACTCCATGGAGTTTGACGCAAAGCCGATTCAAGCAAGCATATCACAGCTATCCGATTCGTTCTCTTTAATTTTATTATTAGATGAGGGAAGGTTAATATTGACTCACGGTGTAAACATGCTTTTTTATCGCTTAAGTATAATCTGTTCTCGCAGTAAGACACGGTGCATGACAGGAGTCCGCCGTAAAGGATTCTTTCTGAATTGCTGCAGTGTTTCTCAGAGCATGCAGAATGTCAGAGAATATCAGTCAAGGTCTTAATTTACGACCCTGAAAGAAGCGACTGCTGTCGGAGCGGTAAGGAGACAATACGCGGCTCTACAGTTTTTGGGATCTACCGTAACCTAGACGCGATCAAAACGCCTGGAGTACCGACCCAAGGTCAGAAACGGTACCTGCTTCTAACGTCTAGTGACCTCCCATAGGTAGCATTATTAAAGTAAATATTGGCTTACGATTCTGTATAAAACTGGGATGTGGTTGCTAGCACTCCTGAGAGAGTGGGAGAGTGTGTGTGTGTGTGTATATGTCAGGGAGAAGCAGGGAATTTGTGTGACAGAGGGCTGTAGAGAATATGGAGAGAGATAGAGGAAGAGAGGGCATTATATTATTCATAACACCAGTGGAGGCAGGCAGACAGAGAAGCAATACAAGGTGTCAGGTGAGAAGCAGAGCTTTGGATCCAGGAGAGCTAAAACTGGCCTAAATGATGCTCATGAGTTTGGCCGCTTGCTGCCTTGTCCAAAAGCATACATACAAAATCATATGCATTGTTAGAAAAAAATGGCACCAGTGTATACCTTTGCTTGTCACTGGGGCTGTAGCCTCAAGGATCTGCCAATTGTACCCTAGCTGTAGGTAAATGTACCTTTTAATCTAATTTAAGGTGCAAAAATGGACTCTGAGGAACATTCCCAAGGTACAAAAAACATCAAAGTGCCCTCAATGGTACAAAAATGTCCCTCATAGTCCATTTCTGTGTCTTACAAGGTAAATTACGCTTGAGGGTACAGCCCAGTGATAAATGAAGGTACCAATTGGTACACTTTCTTCTGATAGTGTGTGCACATTTCTTACCGTCCACGATTCCCTTCATGGCAATGTGATGAAAGTGAAACCAAATAACAGAAAAAAAATCTGACTTCTAACATGTTAAATATGAAATTTTCAACCTGATTTGAAGCTGTTATGTTATGGGTTTGAACACTGGCAGACACAGCTTTCTTACGGGGGCGCACGGTGGTGCAGTGGTTAGCTGGGCCCAGGGTTTGAGTTTCTGCCTGGGTTCCAAATGTGTGGAGTTTGTGTGTCGTCATGTGGTTTCCTGCAGGTTCTCTGGTTCCCCCCCTCCCCAGTCCAAAAGCATGCTGAGGCTGACTGGAGTTACCGAATTGCCCATTGGTGTCCCATCCTGGGGGGGTTCCCTGTCTTGCACCCATAGTCTCTGGGATTGGCTCCAGAACCCCAGTGATCTTGACCAGGATGAGCAGTTTAAGATGGATGGATGTTTCCTATCTCAGGGGTGGGTGTGTGTGTGTGTGTGTGTGTGTTGATCACTGGAGTAGATGGGTGGATACAATAAACAAAATGCCCTTGAGGAGCTTTTTTCTGGGATCTGTGTACTGAGGAATCCAGTCTGGTGAACAGAGCTTCCACACAAAGAGAAGCAGTCAGAAATACTGGCCCTTTGTTGTTTGGTGTGTGTGGACAAGAGGAAGAAATGTTGAAAAAGACAATGCAAGTGTGCAGTTACTCACAATGCTCTGCAGCGATGGAGGCAGCTGACTGGTACCTAAAGGACCAGCGTACTGAGGGATGTTCTCCCAGAACCAGATAAATGAGAGAGCTGGTCTGCAGCGGGGCCTGGCTCCTGCATCACAGCGCTGTGCATCTCATCTGTCATCAGCTTTAAGGCAGCTCTATGAAGCAGTAATATCCCATGGACATTCATCACTGCACATGTGCTTTGGTGTAATGGAGAGCATATCAGATTCTGGTGCCAATAAAGCTGTCATCTTAAAAAATGTGGTGCTTCAGTTGGTTAATATCAAGCCATATTGTAAAATATAGTGATAACTGATGGGTTTGATAGTTTTCAGTCATTATTTGCCATATTATGTTGTGTTTGCATAAACAGAGTAATAATGCGGGCATTTCTCTGTGTTGAAGTAAACCAGCATTTTCTGTTTCAATAAAAAACATTTTTCGTGTGCAGGACCATTCAGGGTTGACTGTTTCCATACGGGCAGGATTGCTGAAGCCACTGAATTCATAATCCCTGTTTCAGATATAGCTGGTGGCAGCATGTGTCATGTGGCCGGATAGTCATGTGATGTCGGTCATGTGACCAATGTCTGTCCTGGCTATCTTAAGGCTCCGTCTTGGTTACATACAGGTGAGTAAGCCTCCCCGGCTCCATGTGCCTTGGTCTCAGGTCAGTGGCAGCTGCTTTCTGCCTCGTGTCTGGCACACACTGACCTCCTGGGGCAGCCCTGTGGGATATATTCCAAGATGGCAGCAGCCAGGGAAGGATCTTTTATCGTTAATAACTGAACATCACTGCCAGTGCCTTGGTGAGGGTAGGAGTTCCTCCAGGAGATGACATGTGGGAAAGGGTTTTTATTTGTCTAGAACCAATGCTCTTCAAATCCCATGGCCACGTCTGCCTGCATGTTTGTTCACTTTATATGTTTATCCTGTGGTAACCCTGCAAGGTTCACCGGAGCCCACAAACACTGCTTCCCAAGGTCGATTGTGTGACCGTTAGCCCTGTGGTAAGGTGCAGACCCGCAGAAAAATGCAGCAGTAACTGGACATCCCCTGGTAGTCCTACATTTATTCTCAATTCCTATTATTAAGCAACTGATTTACTAAAGTACCTGCTACAAGTCGCACTGGGAATAACTGCACACCGTAAAGTCCTTTCAGAGGTTGACACCTGGTGCTGCATTAATACATAAAGGGTATAGAAGTGACATATTTGCTTATATATTTTTTAATCAATCTCATGCTCATCCACAGTGAATATTAGAAATGTTATGATGCATTTCGACGGACTAAATAATGGGGATCTGGTACATTTGCATTTGGGTTCATTCTTTTGCTTGATATTTGTTTTAGATCCCATGGGGATAAAGCGGAAGGGGCCTTTTATGAAATGGAGCAGGGAGTGGGAGTGATGCGATTTATTATCTGTCTGATGTTATGATTTTACTGCCGATATTCCCTTTGAAGAAGTGTGCCTTGATGTAGTTACAGCTTATGGTAAACAGAGTATCATGTGTTGATGTTGTCCTGATAAAGAATGTCTCAGCGGTAACATTATTGCTTTGAACCCCCAGAGTTGGGGGAATCAAATCTCAGGTTTCCTGTTCCTCCCGCAGTCAAAATGTATACCTGTAGGCTAGTTGGTGTCTTTAAATTGCAAATAAAATGTGTGTGTGCATGCATATATATATATATATATATATGTGATCAGGATGGATGCGCCCATAAAATTGCACCAGTTGGACTGATTAAAATATATGACTCAGTGTCGATGAGGAGCCTACTGATGCAAAAATACACATAATTCATATTTTATTTACTCTGAAAAACCTGAGAGTCAATTAAATTATAAGATGGATATGTTGATATTTGGATGGGAGAGCTAATTTTTAAATAAATTTTAAAAATGTTTATAAAGTATACGATTCATAAATAAATGTATATTTGCACATGCAAATGCACCAGCTCTAAGACTACTGTGCATGTGGGAGTTTCATGAACTTGATGTGTTAGTCTGTCTAATCGTAGACAAGCACAGTCTAATCAATTAGTGTCAAGTGACAGAGTGACACAGATGGATGACCCTTAAGTGGGGGGAACCCTCCGTTCCACAACATCCATCCATTCATCTTTCACCTGCTTATGCAGGTCAGGGTCACATGGGGGCAGCAGAGAGCACAAGACTGGGGTACATCTTGTTCAGGTTACTATACTGTTCTAGAACATTGGTGATAGAAATCAGGTTAAATAAGAACTGAAAGAGCATAAGGCAGATGCTGTTTGTACCGAGGTATTAGTAGCCAACAATGCTACTCCACTAAAAAATTCCACGGCTAATGCCATTGAATCCACGCAGTGTTAGCTTTATTGCACCTCCCTGAAAATCTAAAATTCCTCCTCATTTGCTAAACATAAGACGGGAATTCTCCCCCATTGTGAGAACTGAATTTTAAGCCCTGTAGCTAGTGCTTATGCTAGTCAGCAAGATTACTGTGTCCTTTCGGCTTTCGGCTAGCTAACTATTGCTAGAACAAGGGAACATTTTGTGTTTAATGTACCCTGCCTTTTATAATTGTATCCCTCTTTGCCACTTTCAGGCATTTAAGTGATGTGCAGCCATACATGCAACACAGTGTTTGTGTTTTTTGTGAATCCGGGGGCGGGGGGGGGGACAGGGAGTGAGGCGGCTGGGTGTAAATAGCCGAATGGATGCCGAGTGAATATTTTCACCTGGGTGCAAATAGACTCTCCTTTACTGTAATCATGGCTTATGTGTTGCATTTTTATTTGTTACTGTATTGTATCGGATAGCAATGTTTTGGAAATGTTTTTGCCCTTGAAAGTCTTCTCTCAGGCAATATGTGCTGCAAGCTGAGTCATCTGGAGGGGAAATCAGAAATATGGAAATCCTGTCCTTATAACTGCTTGCACTTGCTCCCAATGGCTTTATTAAGTTTCTGCAGTACGCTTACTGTGCCATAGTTGTAATGAGTTGTTTTGAACACAAGGGGCGCACTCTCCTGCTTGTTCTGTGAGAACTCAACGTTTTGCCCTCTGACAAACACACACAGCAGAAGGCTAAAGGACAATCAAATGTAAAATCATGATGCCGGACAAGTTATTCAGTTTTGTTGCAAGAGTACTTTTATATAAATTAAGGTATGAACAACATTTATATTTTTTACATAGGCTTGGGACAATTTGTGAACATGAATGTATGACCAAATTTGATGCTCTAAAGTGGTGATGGAAACTTGGGCTGCCCCACCCTGCTACTTTGGGTTTTCCTCACAATGAACCAGTAAGGGCAGCAGGTGGTGAAATGGTTGAAGACATAGAGTTATGGGCAAAGGGCTTCAGGTTGCAAAAACAGGTAGGCCTATGCTGTTGATCAGAAATCCTTCTGTGAAATATGTGTA